CCCCAGACAACAGCCTCAATGAGTCCCATGTGACTAAACAACACGAGCCGAGCCTTGAGGAGTGGCGAATGCACAAGTTCAGTATCAACAATGGTGTCTCGGAATTATCAGTAACTCTCTAACTCGAGGTGACAACCGTCGAAGGTCTGCATCAATAATCCAAAAGCAACATTATTTTGAGCATGACCAGAATAACAACCCATTTTAGACTCGTAGTAATCATAGCACCCTCGAATCGAGTTGCTTTCCTCGATCGACACATTTTGCGACTTGCAGCAGGTGAGTGCCAATCTACCCTCTTAACTTTTCTCCTCTCCTTCTTTTCGATATTCTTGTTCCACTTTCTCAACTCCTCACGCTGCTCTCTTTGTCTGTGCCTCCGATTCATAAACGCACCTGACCGCCCGCTTTGACCAGGATCATGCAACTTCTTGTGGGAGCAACGACTTCAAGCATTAGTAGTTTCACTTTTGCAGGATCAGAGAGCAATACGTTAATGACCTCTCCTTTCGTTGGCGGGTAAGTCCTACGTATCTCCCTATACTATTCCTTTAGGATGCATCAGGTACTGCAGGGGATTAACCCTCGACTAAAACTACACGTTTTTTCGTGTGCCTTGAGCAAAAATGAGGACGAATCTTCCGCTAGAACACGGCTAGATACAATGGCACTTTGCTGACTCTTCTCCCGACGCAACTCCTGTTGCTTATTTCGTCTAATCCTTCGCCCCGGCCCGAAATCTGACACGCTCCTTCTCTGCGCAGTACTTAGTGCTCGTATATGCCAAACCATAGTCCGAATCGAAATTCTGGCGCGACCATTCAATTCGGAATGGTTCAAAACCTCTATTGTGGATCTTAGATTGTGCGAATCGGTCAAGAAATGACCGATATCTATGTTTTCCGCCCTCTTTCTCCCTCCTCTTCGATCTGCAATGCCTTCCTCACGTATTCCCCCTTTCCGCCTACACTACTCCGATTTTATCCACCTCTTCTCACAATGGCGGTTAGATTCGACAAAAAAGTAGAAAGGGAAGGAACACCGACCTTCGTAAATCTTTAGATTAGAATCAAGAAAGGAAAGGGCAACAACGACCTCTATGAGGAGACACAAAGTCGTAATGGAGGTAAACCTCTCCTCATCACCTTCGACTTCCTCCCGTTTCTTTCTCAATCCCAATTCCCCCACCTTCTTCTCCCTTGCATTTTTGGTAAGTACTCTCTCTCTTCTGCCAACTGCTTCTCACAATCCCACGCAAATAGTCGACGCTTCTCTGCTCACCGTCTTTACAATCAGAATGAATCTTCCTCTGAACATGGGAAGATACATTATCTTTTGAAGACTTCTTCAATTGGGCGCAACCCCAGAAGCCCATACCAGCCAAACCGCTGCTCAAACCATCAAACCAGTGCGACCAATCGATTCGGCATGGTCCAAAACCTACGTTTAGACTCCTCTCTCACCTGATTTCATCATAAAATGGGTGAGATACATCATCTCCCCTTCCGTTTCCATCCCCCTTCGTCTACTCCGCGCACACTCTTCCTCATTCAGCTCTCTACCTATTTATCTAACACTAAAACTAACATCTCCATCTAACTCGCCCGACCTGAAAACCTCCGAATAGCACCTTCCCCCGTCAAGATTCGACATGGCTCTCCTCCTTCGCTATGTCTTTTCTCTCCTTCATCCTCATCAGTTCCCCGTCTCCTTCGTCTTTGCGTATCTGGTCTGACTGTTGGCTAGATTCATATTCCTTTCTCTCACATTTACTGCTGCCTCGCCGCCTTCTTCTCCTCTTCTGTCAATCTTACCTTCGATCCCGTTTCCTTTCTTGCCCTTGCCACCTGTCTTCTTCCTCTCCTTCTCTCTCCCATCTGCCTTCTTTCTTGCTTCCCCTGACGTCCTTTCTTCTCTTCGTCCATTTTCAGCGCAGCCTTAGCGCAGCGCAGCTTGATTTCGCTCCGAGTTCAGTCTTTCTGAGAAAAAAAAAAACAACGCTTCGAAGGGGGCCAGCCAACGGTCAGTACGATAGCCTTTCACCCCTATACCCAAGTCCGTCGAATGTATGAGTTGCACGTCGGCCCAACGTGGGCTACTTCGGAGGGAACTTAGCCACTTGCTGACCCGCTTAGCCTTTCACCCTGTGTTCTGGTCCAGCGATCCGGTTTGCAGAGGGACTTCAGAGGGATCCAGCCACTAACAGGTTCGATTAGTCTTTGCCCCTATAGCCAGGCCTGTCAGCGATTCCTACGTGAGTGTTACTGCCTGTTCTCTTCCTGTCGGAGCATGCCCCAAGCTGTGCCTCGCCCAGGCACAGTCCGTCGTCTCTTGGATCCCATGGGCCTGCTCATACTCAAACCTCCCTGCAGCAGACCCCGGCTAGCGGGCGGTACATTTTGCGGGGGATTCCCGCCACTCAGGACCCGCTGTTCCGTGGGCTTCACACCCACAGGCTCACCTATACGATGTCTTCCCTCAGATCGTGCTTTCAAGACGGGGAAGATAGATGAAGTTTTGTCAGCATCCCAACTACGCAGGAAGTCGCACCAACCTACCCAAAGAGGCGCGTGCTCAAGGCCCTGAAATGCTGTAACAGCCACTCGAGGGGGTTCTAATAGCTCCTGACTGCAATGCTTGGTACTGCAGCCCAATACTGGCACGCACTCCTGCATTCAAGGCCAGGAGAGCGACAACGCAGTCGCCATTCACCCTACCTAGACGGGGATGCACGACTTTCCTCCATCCATTTCCTGCTCGTTAATTCCTATCACTCTTTTAGCTCTCTTTTGAAGGTTCTTTTCATCTGCCCTCGCGGTACTTCTTGCTGTCGGTCCCGGAGCCAATTTCCGGCCTGGTCAACAGACGGGAAAATGGAGGAAAATAAAATAAAAAATAAAAAATAAATCAACAAATTAAAAATAGTAGAATTGAAGACGACGAGGACCTGCCAACGCCCTCTTGGTCTTGCCAGTTGAACCCAGGCTTGGGCCCGTTCGGCAAAACCAAGGGGGATAGTCTCTTAAGACCCTCAACCCCTCAGTCTCTGCCGGTCGTACTCCTCTGCTCCATCGCCTCTTGCTAACCTCGAACCCCAAACCTGTCGCCTGAAAGTCCAATACCGTAACCAATAGGACGAAGCCCCACATATGAATAGTCGCAGGATCGTGATTGGTCCCATTTGCACAAACCAGGCCTTCGCCTTGGCCTACCGGTCAACCTCCTGGCCGTCAGAAAACGCCAAGACGCCCCCCGCGCCTAGGATCGTTGCTATCTGGTATCCTTGTTGTCAGGCGCTCGACATATTTTGCCGAACTTTCGACTTTCCCCCATATTAGGTTCGCCAACGCCGCGCCTTTCGATGCGTCGTCCAACATAAACCTCCCGCGTGTGCGCAAGGTAAAGTTTTTATCCCTCTCGCGATGAGCCCCGCCAAAGGCCGAGCTGGTTCGCGAAATAAAGCTAAGCTCGTCTCTATAAAATAAAAGAAAAATATAGCCAAAAAAAAACATTACAGAGAAGGTAACTGGACCTTATGGCATTGATATATTTCACCGGCCTAGAATTGCCACTGACTTAAACGGTCATCCCGCCATGCAACGCAATAATGCGTGCCCCACACACTCTCTAATTCGTTTGAATTTAGCTCGGACTCTCGCCAGAAGCGAGGTCACCGAGGTAAGCGCCCTGACGGGGTTTGTCCCACCAGCACGTTACTTTTATCAAGGGCGCACCCAGTGCGACCTTTAAAAAGGACGGCAAATACCCTTGTAAGGGTGTTTGCTACGACTGTGTGTGTGTGTGTGTGTGTGTGTGTGTGTGTGTGTGTGTG